ATATATATACATGTTTGCGCAATGTTTGTATTGGTTGTTGGTAATCGATTTGCATAACAATTGGCTGAAGAAGGAAAGTAGAAGTGGATACACAAATTAAAAAAAAATCAGTAATAGATAACATAGGCCTAGCAATAACATTGACTGTTCGACTTTCATACAATTATTCTTTACGTTGTCGATAACGACAATTATATTTGATCAATGACTTCGATCGTGACCAGCTACTATTTTACGATCTTTGATGCTTTGCAAAAATAAAAAAATATTGATGTCCCACCACGAGGCTTTCAATTCTTTGGCTATACCCAAAGACAGTTTGTATGTAAACTTTATGTTTTGATTCACATTTCGCCTGATACAAATTAGCTAATAGCAGTCGCAACGACGCAAATTCACCTGTTTTTGTTCGTACGGTTTATGAAAAAAGAAATGTTTTTATCCTCATCATTAAGCTTCATTCATTTTGCTGTGCTAAACACGGCATCTATTCTACAATCTACATATCATGACATATATTCTCGATTCTATATTTCTTACAAAAGACACAAACATAAATATAATGTACAAAAATAGATTTTCTTTTAATAAACTGCGGATAAAATAATATTCAAAATAAGTTACTTTAAATCCTGGAGAAAGTTTCGTACATATTTCCCATTCAGCTGTTGCGCTGCATTACCTTCTGCAGTCTGTTTTTGATATTTCGGGGTTTTAAATCCTCCGAATATACATTTTTCTAATATTTAACAGTATTTACTTACTATTAATACAGTATATGATTTAACTTTATTTGTTAACTATTAATGTATGCTGTAACTTTCACTAACACTATCGTGTATAGCATATTGGACACTGGCCCCACCTCCATATAAGACCTATGTATTGTTTCTCTTCGATTGCTCGATGTTTATTTATAGTTTATTACTAGCTTGTTAATGGCGATGATTCGCTGATAGTATTTATGCGATGAATGAATAAATGTTTGCCTTGGAATTTGTTTATTGTTTAATGGCATTGAATAAAATGTACACCTTCAATTCTAAATAAAAAAGACATCCTATTAAATTGTAGATCTGATTTTGGCATGTATCTATTTTCTACATTGAAATCAATATCGGTAGTCTATGCGTTGGTCAGACTTGTACTCTTTGTCGAAATGACTTCTGCTTAAGTGTTCGTGCACAAACTGTCAAACAAAAACAACGTAATGATAAATACATTATGTATACCGAGCAGGCTTTTAATTTATAAAGAGTAAAAGATACCATGATTGTAATAAGTTATTTCGTAGTCTGTACTGCGCATGCCCGTATCCAAGGTCAATTGACATAAACCTATGTTTGTTTACGTCGATTGACCTTGATATGCGCATGCTCAGTTCAGAAGATATTCCTCCATTTAACTATGTACTGTATATATTTCATTTTAAAATTCAGAATGTAAGCTTCTTACCAATTGTTCATCGCCTGTCGCTATGTACGGCCGATGAAAGTCAGTAGGCATCGTTTTGTTGTATTCACCAACCTTTTGATAAGAAACAAAAGTACACTTAATATTATACGATAGTTCTGTCTGAATAAGCTGAAATAATGATGCCAAAAATAATAACGTCAAGTGATGATTGGAAGTAAGGGTGGGGATGTCGATAATAATTATGGTGACGATGGAAACAATAAGCATGATATAAAAAGTGTGAAATGATGATACAAAAAAGTACGGTAATTATGACGACGAGGGAAACAATGAACATGATACAAAAAAGTGTGAAATGATGATACAAAAAAGTACGGTAATTATGACGACGAGGGAAACAATGAACATGATACAAAAAAGTGTGAAATGATGATGATGATGATAGTGATAAAGACAATTATGATAATTTTATTTATTTACTAATATCTTTAGCCAGGATGACACAATCATTTTAAAGAAATGTTTTTCATTGTGGTCCTGGAAAAAAAAAAAAAAAAAAAAAA